GCTGGAAAAACAAGTTCAAGGAATTTGGCCAGCCTCAAACTTTCTCCTTAACAACTTACAAGATTAGAAGTCAATAGAGCAATGCCTTCCAAGTTTAAGAAGGAAAAAAGTGACCTGGAAATAAGGGTACAGAAACATGTTTCTAAATGTACAAGAATTCAAGGAATATATCTTCCACATGCTTTCTTTGAATTAATCACTGACAGGTGAAGTTTAGCCAACTGTTATGGACTGGATTTTGTATGCCTTCCCCATCCCCTCCCCCCTATACAAAATATTTATATATTGAATCCTCATTCCTGGTGCCTCAGAATGTGAATGCATTTGGAGTTTGGGTCTTTAAAGAGGTGTGTGTATGCTAAGTCATTTCAGTCATGTCTGACTCTTTGAGACCCTATGGACTCTAGCCTGCCAGGCTTCTCTGTCCATGGGATTCTCCAGGCAAGAATACTGGAGTGGATTGCCACGCCCTCCTCAAGAGGATCTTCCCAACCCAGGGATCGAACCTGTGTCTCTTACATCTCTTTCATTGGCAGGTGGGTTCTTTACCCTTAGAGTCACCTGGGAAGCCCCTTTAAAGAGGTGATTAAGTTAGAATGAGATCATTGCAAGGGGCTTGAATTCAGTATGACTAGTGTCCCAATAAGAAGAGGAAATTTGGCACAGACCCATACAGAGAGCATATAATGTGAAGATGGGGAAATCGGCCATCTTCAAGCCAAGGAGTGAAGCCTCACAAGGAACCCACCCTGAAGACACTTCGATCTCAGACTTCTAGCCTTTAGGACTGCGAGAAAATAGCTTTCTTTTGTTTAAGACACCCCATCTGTGGTACTTTGTTATGGCAGCCCTAGCAAACAAATACACCAACCAAGAAAAATGAGTAAAAGAAATGAAAAGAGAAGTGGGATGAGTGTTGAACCACATCACCACAGGGCTAAGTCTAACACAAATGGGGGCAAGTGTTACACATGGGCCGAGCATTGGTAAGCTCATAAATCTGTTTTTAAGGGACTTGGGCTCCACTTGCACTGAGGCCCCCAGGTAACATCGGGCCAGTCACTTGGGTTCACTGGGCCACACTGGGCTTCAAGGTAATGAACAACTTCCAACTCAGGCTCTAGAGAGTCCTAGGCATTCAGGAAAAGGGCATCAGGGATTTCCAAGAAAATGAGGAGGCGAGTCTGTGGGGTCTGGACCCTCCTCTCCTTCATGGGCAGCCCCAGGCCTTCACAGTGAGAGCTCATGGACAGGAGTTTGCTGAAGCTAAAGCAAGCCTGAACCCCAGTGACCTGGATCATTTTCTTAATTTTCTGCCAAATCAGAAAGTTGTTAGCATCTTCAGGTGGTTTCACCCCATTGTGTGTGTGTGTGCTCAGTTGCTCAGTCTTGTCTGACTCTTTGCGACCCCAATGGACCATAGCCCACCAAGCTCCTCTGTCCATGGGGATTCTCCAGGCAAGAATACTGGAGTGGGTTGCTGTGCCCTTCTTCAGGGGATCTTCCCAACCCAGGATTCAAACTCAGGTCTCCTGCATTATGGGCAGTTTCTTCACCATCTGAGTCACCAGGGAAGCCCTTCACCCCATTAGCCTTAAGACAATGTAAGGACATGTTGGTAACTTATATGGGGTTCTGTCACCAGCCACATTTCTAGCCAAGACCCACCACAGGGTTCAAGCTTGGCTCCTCCTCCCTCAGGGCCAGCCTGTCATGGGAGATGGATGCTGCTGCTGAAGACAGAGGGGAGAACCAAGGGGCCGATTAGGTAGCGAATCTTAGGAACTCATTGTTGGGCTTCAGGCCACCTCAGGGAAAGGGTCAGAGTGACCAAGCCCTGATGGACAGGACTGGGCTCTGTAGGAGACATTTTTTTTTTGGAGACATTTTTTACCGAAGCAAATCTTTATCATTGTTATTCTTCTCTCCCCCTCCTCAGCCAGTGACTCGGTTCTCACAAACCAGACATCAGTGGGGCAGGGAATTTTCCTTAATAATAAGACAAACAGCAAAAAGCTTTTGCAGCAACATTGATGGACCTAGAGATGATCATACTAAGTGAAGTGAGTCAGAAACAGAAAGAAAAATACCATATGATATCACTTATAAGCGGAATCTACTTTGGCTTTATTGACTATGCCAAAGCCTTTGACTGTGTGGAGCACAACAAACTCTGGAAAATTCTTAAAGAGATGGGGATACCAGACCACCTGACCTGCCTCTTGAGAAATCTGTATGCAGGTCAGGAAGCAACAGTTAGAACTGGACATGGAACAACAGACTGGTTCCAAATCAGGAAACAAGTACGTAAAGGCTGTATATTGTCACCCTGCTTACTTAACTTATATGTAGAGTACATCATGAGAAATGCTGGGCTGGATGAAGATTCCACAAGCTGGAATCAAGATTGCGGGGAGAAATATCAATAACCTCAGATATGCAGATGACACCACACGTATGGCAGAAAGTGAAGAAGAACTGAAGAGACTCTTGATGAAAGTGAAAGAGGAGAGTGAAAAAGTTGGCTCAAAACTCAACATTCAGAAAACTAAGATCATGGCATCCGGTCCCATCACTTCTTGGCAAATAGATGGAGAAGCAATGGAAACAGTGCCAGACTTTATTTTTCTGGGCTCCAAAAATCACTGCAAATGGTGACTACAGCCATGAAATGAAAAGACGCTTGCTCCTTGGAAGGAAAGTTATGACCAACCTAAATAGCATATTAAAAAGCAGAGACATTACTTTTCCAACAAATGTCTTGTTTAGTCAAAGCTATTGTTTTTCCAGTGGTCATGTATGGATGTGAGAGTTGGACTGTGAAGAAAGCAGAGCACAGAAGAATTGATGCTTTTGAACTGTGGTGCTGGAGAAGACTCTGGAGAGTCCCTTGGACTGCAAGGAGATCCAACCAGTCCATCCTAAAGGAAATCACTCTTGAATATTCATTGGAAGGACTGATGCTGAAGCTGAAACTCCGATACTTGGCCACCTGATGCGAAGAACTGACTCATCTGAAAAGCCCCTGATTCTGGGAAAGATTGAAGGCAGGAAGAAAGGAGATAACAGAGGATGAGATGGTTGGATGGCATCACCAATTCAATGGACATGAGTCTGAGTAGACTCCAGCAGTTGGAGATGGATAGGGAGGCCCAGCGTGCCGCAGTCCATGAGGTCGCAAAGAGTCGGATACAACTGAACAACTGAACTGATCTTAACTGATAAGTGGAATCTAAAATACAACACAAGTGAACATACCTATGAAACAAAAACATGCCCACAGGCATAGAGAACAGACTTGTGGTTGCCAAGGGGGAAGGAATGGGGGAGGGAAGGATTGGAAGTTTGGGATTAGCAGATGCAAACTATCATATAAAGGATGAATAAAAACAAGGTTCTACTGTATAGCACAGGGATCTATATATTCAGTAACCTGCGCTAAATCATAATGGGAAAGAATATGAAAAAGAATGTGTATCTATAACTGAGTGATTTTGCTGTTGTTCAGTTGCTCAGTAGTGTACGACTCTTTGCAACCGCATGAACGGCAGCACACCAGGCTCTCTTGTCCATCACCATCTCCCGGAGCTTGCTCAAACTCATGTCCATTGAGTTGGTGATGCCATCCAATTATCTTGTCTTCTGTTGCCCCTTCCCCTCCTGCCTTCAATCTTTCCCAGCATCAGGGTCTTTTCCAATGAGTCAGCTCTTCATATCAGGTGGCCAAATAATTGGAGCTTCAGCTTCAGTCCCTAGAATGAATATTCAAGGTTGCTTTCCTTTAGAATTGATTGGTTTGATCTCCTTGCAGTCCAAGTGACTCTCAAGAATCTTCTCCAGATCACAGTTCAAAAGCATTAATTCTTCAGTGCTCAGCCTTCTTTATGGTCCACCTCTCACATCCATACATGACTACTGGAAAAACAATAGCTTTGACTAGACAGACATTTGTCGGCAATGTAATGTCTCTGCTTTTTAATATGCTGTCTAGGTTGGTCATAGTGTTTCTTCCAAGGAGCAAGCATCTTTTAATTTCATGGCTGCAGTCACCATCTGCAGTGATTTTGAAGCCCAAGAAAATAAAGTCTGTCACTGTTTCCATTGTTTCCCTATCTATTTGCCTTGAAGTGATGGGACTGGATGCCATAATCTTAGTTTTTTGAATGTTGAATTTTAGGTCAGTATTTTCACTCTCCTCTTTCATCTTCATCAAGCTCCTCTTTGCTTTCTGCCACAAGGGTGGTGTCATCTGCATATCTGAAATTATTGATATTTCCCCCAGCAATCTTGATTCCAGCTTGTGCTTCATCCAGCCCAGCATTTCTCATGATGTACTCAGGATAAATGATGTACTCATGATTAAATCATAATGGGGAAGAATATGAAAAAGAATGTATATCTGTATAACTGAATCACTTTGCTGTACAGTACACAACATTGTAAATCAACTATACTTCAGTAAAATTGATTTAGAAAGCTTCTAAGTGGCTGGCCTGGAATTATTGCTCAATTTCTCCTTAAGGAACCTCATGGAAGGCAACACCCCTCACATAAGAGGCACCATCACATGCTTCACTTTTTTAGGGGAAGAAACCTTCTCTCCCTTGTCAGGCTCTCTGGAAGTCTTTCAACGGAGAGCTGGAATGTTCTCAAGGTGTGTGGTGTGTAGGGTGAAGGAAGGACGGATGGCCAGAGAGCATGGACGAGCTTTGTCTGAAGAGAGACTGCCAGAATGTTCCTCTGGGGCTCACGTTCTGGCTGCAGCAGTTGTTTCCCTTCCAAGAAATTTCAGACAAGTTCACAGACCACCATGAGCTCGCAAACAAACTGCTAATAAAGAGGCTTCCAGCTGGGGTGGAGCAGGAAAGGGAGAAGCCCTGAGACCATTCACCAAACAGAGACAGAAAAACAAGTGGTGCACGGAGGACAGGGGGCTGAGCGTTGACCTGTGTGCTGGGGGCCCAGAGGCCATGGGAAATGGCCAGGGCTCAACAAAGGCTTCAGAGGCGCGCGAGTATCAGGCCCTGGAAGGCAGCCGGGGTGACCCAGGTCTCCTTTGCTGGGTTTCTAACGGCTCCTCTGAGACCCCGTGCTGGAGGAGAGTGAGGAAAGCAGCCGGTTGCTGGACTGAGTCCCCGCAGAGCAACTTGGACGGGCTTTTCCGGTGATTTAACAGCCTCGATTGCCTCTGAAAGGGGAACGCAGTGCAGCTGGCCCATAAAACTGCCGCGCTTTGGGGTTTGGAAAAAATCCTCTTCAGAGAGAGTCAGAACAGCCTGGAGGGCTGACCGGGGCCAGAGCTCAAGGCTGGCTGGGGAAAGCAGCTGTCCCCAGGGTGGCCGGGTCAGCGAGCGAGACACCAACCCCACCAGAGCTGCGGAGTCCCGAGGGGTGGGCGTATGCGCCATGGTCCGCACGCAGGCAGTCTCGCTTCTATTTCCTGGGTGGCTGAGACCGGGCCGTCCACCCGGAAGCAGCGATCCTTGCATCTCTCGGCTGGAAAGCACAGGAGGACATGCTGGGCGGTGGGCCATGCGGGACCTACGCTTTGCCACGGAGAACTTGGTTCTAACAGACCCCACCAGCGGGTTCAGATTTCAGCTCCCCACTCGGCCAGAGACTGCCGCTTGCGGTTCTTTCTGGAGAAGGGAATGGCTACCCACTCCAGTATTTTTGCCTGGAGAATTCCATGGACAGAGGAACCTGGCCGGCTGCAGTCCATGGGATCCCAAAGAGTTGGACACGACTGAGCCACTTTCAGCTTCTACCCCATGTCAAACATCACTTGGTTATTCATTGACCTATTCATTCAACAAATACTTAAGACCCTCTTGGTATAAAACGGCCGTGAGGATGACATCAGCGGTGACTTGGCCCAGCCCTGTGCCAGCTGCTGTAGTGAAAGAACAGAGTTAGGCACTGTCTTTTGAGAGTATCAGATGGGTGGAGGAAATGCATGTTATTTCTTTGATTTCTTTAACGCTCATGTAGTGAGTGCCCTTTATGCGGAGACCACTGTTCTTAGCACCTAATACATTTAATCCACCTCACAATCCCATATCCCCATTTTACAGAGGAGAAAAATAGAGACAAAGGAACCTGCCTCAGGACCACACAGCTAGGAGGAGGTTAGCTGAGCTCAGTTGGGCTCTAGTACCCATTCCTTTAAATGTTACACCATTAAACAGATAAATGGAATGAAGAGTCTATAGTCTATAGAGTCTGCTTGGTGCTTGGAAAGAACAAAAGGGGGATTTCTTTTCACAGAGGTTGGGAGTCAGGGTGGATTTCTCTGAAATGGTAACAGAAAGGAGGAAGTCTGTTCCACAAGAAGAAAAATACGAAAGCAAAGGTCTGGGGTGAGAAAAGTCATGATGAACTCACAACACTTGGAGGGAAATCAGTGCTGTCCTGAGAACAAGGTGAGCCCCAGGCAGGATGGGGAGAGACGAGGTTGGAGGGTAAGGTCAAGCCATATTCAGTTTCCTTTGGCAGATCTCAAGGTAAGGTGATAAAGGGTGTGGTGGTGATCGGGTGGGGTAGGAGTGGGGGTGGAGGTCTGTCTTTAAGAAATCAGGCATATAATGTAGCATGACCATGTGGGGAAGTTGCCAGTATTCATTTTGAAAAGCCCCCATTGCATATTTCACATATACTTGACACTCGCAACCACCCTGTAAGGAATTAGATCAAATTAACCACTTTATGATCGCACCCCACCCCACCCCTTCCTCATACCCACTCTCCCTCCTTGCTGCTGCTAGCGGAGTTCTGTTCTGGGAGGCCATGCATCCAGCCCTGGCAAACACCCCCATCCTAGCCTCCACCACGGCCAGGGGTGGCTCTGCACCCTTCCTGGCCAGTGAAACATTGGCAGGGATTCTGGGAAGCCTTTTGCTTTTCCTGACAAGAGGCACAAATGTGAGTCCATCACCACTTTCTCTTCCTCTCTACCTGGAAAGGGATGTCTGTAGCTGCAAGAACTATTGTGCAACATGATACAAGAAGCGTAGGAGAAAAGCCAAGAGACTCTGAGAAGCTGGCTCTGAATGGTGCCAGCAGCCACCCACAGCTAGACTTGTTATAGGGGTGAGGGGTCAACCCTTATTAGTTTCAGCCATTTCTGTAACTGAGAATTCTATTACTTGTGTGTTCCTCCTAAAGAAAACACTGTTACACTCTAAACAAACTGAGGATGAGAAAATATCAGACCTAGCAGAGAGGAGATTTAACCCCTAATTCACCTGAGTCTTCATCCAGTGCTCCTCCACCATTCTTAAAAGAATGCTTACCTTGCCTTCGGTATTTCTATGTGTGTTTAACTTTCTTGGCATCGCACATGCCAAACCCCAAACCTGCATTGCCCCGAGCACCTTCCAAGCAGCTACGATTTGAATCAGGTGGCCCCACCCTCTTTAAGGGACCAAACAGTGTCCCTGACCCAATAGTGTCAATGCACAGACTAGTCAAAAGCCCATGATATGATCTGCTCTGGAAAAGATGAATTGGCCAAATAAGGATTTCTCTTGCAGGAATTTGAACTAGGTAGTTCTGGGAGATTGGAAAAGGAAACAGAAGAGCTGAAGTGGGAAGGTAAGACCACCTGGAAGGATCTTGTGTCATCTAAGTTGTGAGGAAGCGGAAACCATGAGAAGCAGAAGTTACAAAGTAGAGAAAGCACATAAAAAGCAAAGAAGATGGGCTAGTATACTGAGAGCAGGGCAATAGAAGCAGTCAGCCCAAGCTATAAAGTGCAGGCTTTACTTGGACAGAATTTAAACACAGTCATGAAACCCACCTGTAATTGATCTTTTACAATATCACTTGGGCTTCCCAGGTTGTGCTAGTGATAGAGAACCTGCCTGCCAATGCAGGAGATGTAGAGATGCAGGTTTGATCCCTCTGTCGGGAAGATCCCCTGGAGGAGGGAATGGCAACGTACTCTAGTATTCTTGCCTAGAGAATCCCACGTAGAGAGGAGTCTGGTGGGCTACTATCCATGGGGTCACAAAGAGTCAGACATGACTGAAGCAACTTAGTACACACACATGTTCCCTGGCAAGTCTGAAGGAGAAAAGAAAAGAACTCTTTTGTTGGTGTAAGTTCTGAACTACTGCTGTGATTATTGCTGAGTTTTAATAATACATATGGAAGTTTTAAATAAACATGCTTTTCATAACCAACCCTTTAAGAAACACTATATTCTACACAGAAGTTAATTCAGAGAACTTGCAGTTTGTGGTCAGACCCAACACATGTAGACTCAGCTACACATGTTCTTTTCAAGAATAAATTTTTCACAGTTTAGAACTGATGAAACTATCTTAGGATACAGCTTATTTCTCCAAAACCCTGAAGTATGACAGATGCCTGCGTTTAAATACTAATTCAAAATAGACCATGACAACGTAATGTTTGTAAAGAAGAAAACAGTTTGAGTTACTTTGCCCATGACTACTGGAGTTTTCAATTTGTGCTTAAAATCTAAAACCACAAAGTAGAATATTTTTGTTTGGAAAGTGCAAAGTTAAATTCATTCATGTTTACATTGAAATATAGTCTTCTTTCTAGATTGTGAATTGGAGTGGGTTGCCATGCCCTCCTCCAAGGGATCTTCCAGACTCAGGGATTGAACCCAGATCTCCCACATTACAGGCAGATTCTTTACTGTCTTAGCCATCAGTGAAGCCCAGAAATACTGGAGTGGGTGGCCTATCCCTTCACCAGGAGTACTTCTTGACCCGGGAATCAAACCAGGGTCTCCTGCCTTGCAGGCAGATTCTTTACCAGCTGAGCTACCACAAAGCCACTGAAATACAGGGATTCTTTCTTACAGCAACTAACTGTGCATAACTATTATGCCTAAGAGTTTTTTTTTTCTTACAAAATTCCAGTTATTTATTGAAACTCATCTGATTTCTCCTTTGTGAGTTAAAAAAATTTTCTTTATTGGGGTATAGCTGATTTACAATATCCTAAAAGGTTTTATTTATTTAAAAAAAATATTTATTCATTTACTTGTTTGGCTGCTCTGGGTCTTAGTTGTGGCTTGTGGGAGTCTTAGCCATTAGATCACCAGGAAAGTCATCCTAAGACCTTTTGAAAACACATGATTCTAGGCATCACCAAAGACTACAAAATCAGAAGCTCCTGTCACTGTGTCTGATAATGTATAATTTTAAAATGTTATTCTGCCTGAAATGGAGCAGACTATATAGTCCTTGCAATCTCCCACCCCCACTGTGTCTTCTGCCTGCTTTTGGCCTGTAAAAAAACTTTAATCAAAGAATAAGTTTAATCAGTTAATCAGAGAAGTGAGAAATGGTGGAACCAAGGAAAACAGCCAAAGGAGACTAAATAATAATAGTGTTATCATTAGGCATAGTTGAGGACCTTTGGTTCTTTCTCAAGGGCTGTAGATAATATTCTGAGCCATATCCTGTGAACTAAACTCCCAGGTGGAGAAGTTTATGACATGATGACCCAGACTGTACCCAGGACTTGAGCTGCCACAATTCAGAGAATTGACAGCAAAGAAATGGGAACAAGTGCACCCCGGAACTGAAGATTAACTACTGTACCTAAAACAACCAAGAAGATGCTAGTCAGACTACTGATGATAATTGGAAGATGAGTGTACTGTTCCTGCATGTAACCCCCCCCACACACACACACACTTTGTCTATAAAAACTCTCACCCCCTGCTTTTCAGGAGTGGAGGGGAGTCAGCCTTTGGACAGATGTGCACCACCCTCCTCCCCAGTTGCCAACATCTGAAACAAAGCCAACTTTCCTTTCCACAACCTGGCCTGTTTACTGGCTTTTGAGAGGCGAGCAGCCAGACTTCTCCTCAATGCATACCTTTTGGTAACATGCCTGGTTTAGGAACCAAAGCCTAAATCACCCTAAAGAGATAGGCATACATTTGCATTCACCAAGTAGTAACTACCCAGATCATGGACATGATACTTAGAAAGAGTTAACCCAAATCTTCAGAATTAACCCTGTATTTTTAACTGCTCTTCACGATAGAAATTTCACTGATAGATTCAGTGTAGAGATCAGCATTGAGTGATTTGTGGAGGTATTTGCCACCCCCAGCAGAAGAGAGTTTTCAGATAGAGTGACTGCCTGCCAGCCTTGACTGCCATTGAAAACCATGCTTTTGGTAAGTATGTCGCAGACGCTGAGCAGATTCGCACGGCAGCAGATCATTGCTGGGGCTCCTTGACCCAGAGAACTCAGGAACTCCCAGCATGAGATGGCCTGACACAGCTTCTCTCACTTGCCTGGGTTCATACACTTGCTTTAGTTTTTGTGGCTGTTTTCCAGGTGTCAGAAGTAACTGAGGCATGTACTTGGTGACAGGTGTCTTCTTCCAGGGGTCTCCCACAGCCTTTGGTTCCCAGGTCAGTTGGCAAGGCTTTTGGAATGCAAGTGAGAGCCTAGAAGAGTGAAGGAAAAGGTAGGGTCTGGTTGGGAGGTTTCA